GGAGGAGGGGGAAGATCTGGGCGCGCTGTCCCGTCTCGCATCAGGTGTGCCGCTGTATATTTGATATCCGCGTTGAAAGGAATAGCTATCGGCGGGCCCATCGCCGCGTCCGAAACACGGCCACCGCCATCGGCAAAGCGGTGACGGCGACCAGGGCTTTTCGGAGGCGACGTGTCGTCGGTGGGGGCGGGCCGGGGGCGGCGGGCACGCACAGGCGGCCGCTCGTGCTCGCGCAGGGCTCGCTCGCGTGATTGGGGCTTGTAAACGCGGCCGTGTTACGCCCTTGTAGCGCCCCCAGCATGTTGTCGAGCCGCCGCCCGCGTCGGCGAGCAGGCAAAGCAGGGGGGTGGGAAAAAAACGAAAGGTTTACCCCCCGCCCCTCTTCTCCTACCCCTTAGTCTGGCGTGCATGGGGCGGTAGGGCGGTCGCCGCGTATGGGGGCTGCATTTAGGAATCGTTTTGTTGGTTGCACGCCAGGCGCCGCGCGCCAGGCGGCCAGCCTGTGATCACATGCAGTCACGGACGCGTATTAAAAGCAAGTGGGTGCGAATGACGACCCCATTACCGACAAGGGGCGTGCGCCGTTGGGGAAATGGAAAAAAAGAAATAGGGGGAAAAAGCGCGTGCAGTTTGAATTGCCGGGAGGGGCACCGGGAGTGTGTGTCTATTAGGAGGAGTGATTCGCAACTTCGAGAGCGCCGCCCTGCTCGACCATGCGGCGGCGATCAAAGCGAACGCTTTTCTTGACTTTCACACGGGTGTAATGGTGACCATGGAGCGAACTATAAAGAATGCAGGGCTTCTTGAACGCAGAAAAAGTGAATGCAATTCTAACCACTGTTGTTCTTTTCTGTTGTTGCAGGACCAAATGGAAGCGGCAGACCGCCGTGGGCCTGGAGCTGCTGGCCGAGGCCGGCAACTACGTGGCGCTGCAGAACCTGTACCCGGGCTACCCCAACTGGCCCAACCTGCCCAACTACCCTGGGCCGTCGCCCGCGGGGCTGCCACTGCCCAGGTCGGCGCCGTCGGCCGCGGAGATCTTCTACCGGCAGCAGGCAGCCGTGTCGGCGGCCGTGAGCACGCTGCAGAAGCCCCTGGCCTACCGGCTGTACCCGCCCGGCATGGGGCTGCTCCCGGGGCCGTCGGCCGCCCTCCCCAACCTGCCCGCCGGCCTGCCGCCGCCGCAGGGCCACGCCCTCGCCGCCTCCACCTCGCTCGCGTCGCTCTCGAGCTACTACAACTCGAGCCAGCCGCCGCCCGCCCACTTTGGCGGCCCGCCCCCAACGCGGACGCCCTCCCCCGAACAGCACCCCCACTCGTCGCCCCACTCGTCGCCGCGGACGCCCGAGTCGCGGCACGGCTCGGTCGACGTGGAGGAGGACTCGAACGACTCGAGAGTGGGTGACCTATAACGGCGTCAGCCGCCACGCCGCGCCACGCCCTCGGCGCCCCGCGCCACGTCATTGGTTACCGTTCTAACCCCCCGCCGTGCCGTGCTAAAAGGGACACGGCGCCTTCTAATTTAAAGCTTTATTGTGATTGAAGACTGTTGTTGATGTTGTTGTTGTCGGGCGCCCCGCCGCCCTATGGCCCTACCCGGCCCGCCCCCCTTGGGGGGGAGTTAGCTTTGTGATATGTTCATGTATTCAGCAAAACAGGCATTATTAACAGCGACGTCCAGTGTAATGTAGAGTCGTCTAAATGCACACTTCTGTTAAAGTTATTTTAAGCATGTTGTTTTCGTGTTCCGGTGGGAAACGTCACACCGTGATATCTTAGAATGTGTTGTTTCTACTCCCAAAAAAATGTAAGACGTGCTGATAGCTGTAATCTTAATTTTGTCGGACGTGGCTCGCTATTTGTCCTGTTAATCTATATTTTTCTCCCATATGTTTCTTTTAAACTGCGTAATTTAGGACTATCACTCTAGACAGAAATTGATGTTTAATTTTTTCAGGTAAATCATAGCAAATTTTATACTATTTTAAATTTTTTGCTCCTTACGCTGCAATTTGCTTAAAGATGTTATTCGGTTCGTGAGACAAACATTGTTACCGGTTCGTTAAATTATGTACATTGATTCGCTTGGACTAAATTTGTCTGAAAACCCAAAGCTTTATCGTTAGTTCAATGCGGCCTACCAACTTTGTTCCTTGTCGTTGTTGTTAATGCTGATGCTGCAATGCATTATTTTATTTGTACATTCCTAGTTCTATTAAAAGTTAAGCTAGATCCTCAGTTCACATATTTCTTTTATTGTAAAATCAGATCAGATACAAATACAGTATTATTTTAATTTATAAACATATTTTAGAGACGCTGAGCCTAGTTACGTTACTCAGGAACAAAAGTCTCTGGCCATGTTAATTTTTGTTTGTTATGAATATAATTTTTTTGTAAATATGTGATCAGATGTTCTTTATATAGTATGTTTACGTGTAATATGATTGTAAAATATAGCTAAATAATTCAGAGGTGCTATGCGTCGTGCTGTCCGAGACAGCTCGATATCCCTATGTATTCGCTAGGGTTTCGCGCTGTCTGACATCAGTACGCCTAGAGCTGACGTCATTTCCTTTGCTTTGTATAACTATATATTTGAGTTGACAGTATGGGAATAAACCTGAATGAAGTGCAATCTATTTAAATTGTATTTATTCTTTTCTTCTCCTCACACCCTCTCAGAAGGAGAAATAGTTTCTTATAACCACCCTAACAAAATCGTCGCATCATGACACTCAGCTCCGCTTCCTTATTAAACTCAATACAACCACAAATCGACGCAATCGACGCAATCGACGCTATCCCC